GCCAACCCAAGGCTGCTCTGACCTGGCTAGCTGGCACGCATCCCCCACACTGAATCAGCCTTGTGCCCCAGCCAGCCCCATCAGTGTCTACGTGTATGATGCAGTACACTAAATAACACCACCACAGGATTGTACTTGTGTTTACAAGGACTAACCTACAGCAGCATTTATTAGTTTCCTGTGACCTAATAGGGCTGCACATTTAAACACAGACTTTACTGTGGAGCTAATTAGTCATCTCCACAGTAAATGTCTCATGTAGACCACGCCCTCTGTAGATTAATGTGAAATGTAAGACTTTTTACATGAGCTAATCCAAGATGTTCTTGTATAGCTAGGGGGATAAAACCCAAACGCAAATTTGTACATTCCTACTAATGTGGTTACAGTCCTAAAAGTAAAAGATATGAAATTCTTTAAAGTAATGCTTGGCCATGGAAGAGCAACAGGAACAAATTCAGAAACTGGCTTTTCTTTTAAAAAGCTAAATGCCAAAATACCACATTAAAGTAGAAAAAGCAAACTCAGCTAGTAAAGGGTCCTGTATTGAATCAATAAATAAAGCAAAAACAAACAAGAATAATAATTTGCACTCCAAGGATCCTAAAATGTTTATGGATGAAGTCAGCCCCTTGGTTTTTAGTTATCTCCTTCATACAGATTTAAGGATGAAGAAACTGAAAAAAATTGAGAGTTTCTGGTTTATATATATACTATATTCTGCATCAGTTTCTTTTCACCATTGTGATGGTATAAAGGGCCTGAGATTGGTTAGATGAAAATTCTATACTCAAAGGTATAGAATTTTCTATATAGAACATTATCCTTTCCTGGCCTTGTTGGTACAAAGTCTGTGACCAAACTGCTGCTGCATTCCAGCTATCCCCTGCTGTCATTCCTGTTCTTTAGGCCATAAGCTGCTGGTGATAGGTTGTTGTGTAGTATAGAACCAGGTGAATGATCAGACAAATGGTTGATTCACTTCCATCCTGTCAACTCAGTAGTACTTCATACTGATTTGATCTGGATCCAAACAGTTAGGCTAGGTACAAAAGTTACACATAAACCATTTTAAGTGATCAGAAACTGGTTTAAACCTGTAACAGAACTGAAGCTCATTGCACATAAACCAGTTTCAAAATGGCTGGAACTGATTTAGGATGAACCTGGTTGAATGCAGTATCATACTTAACTGATCTGGGTCAAACTAGTTTATGAAACTTCTGTCCCAGACCCCTTCCTGGTCCAAGTTAAATCACAGTCCTCAAGCATGCTTTGCAGCCCTATGCTGGGTTGTGCTGTCTGCTCCTGAAAAAGCAGGGCTGGACCCACCCCTAGCAAAAGCAGTGAGGGATGGCTGACAAGGGGAGGGGGGGAGGCAAGCCCAGCTGGTGATGTGGCCCAGTCTGCGAGAGTGGGGAAGAAGGACTGTCCCCCCCAGCCAAACCCCATCTGGGGTCTGGGGCCAGGGAGGGATGTTAAATACCCATTCCCCTGCTCAAATTTACTGCTGGCTGCAACTGTGAACTACAAAATCTCAGAGGTATCGAGAAGCAGAAGAAGAAGTGATGAGCATCCCTGCAGAGTCCTTCTGCTGTAATTCTGGGCTGCAGATCCCAGAGGCCTTGGGAGCAGCTGGAAGGAGGAGTGAACACAGAACCAAAAAGTCATGCTCTAGCACCCCCCGGCTTCTCCCCTGAACCACTGCAGGCATGTGGCTGCATTTCCTGAATCAAAGGTAAATGTCTTTTCATTTGTTTCAATTTAACCTTTGCAGTTTAAACTAACCTGTAAAGACCAAACTGATTCAGCCTTCAGGCTTTTTGACTGTCTGTACCTAGCCTGAAGGAGCAGGCACCTCACTTTTTATATAGGTGCAATGCCTATTTCATAGAAACTTTAATTTAGCCCGTTTGTATTTTTGCAAGTTAAATAAGTTACAGATGCTATTATCCAGAACCAGGAAGGTAAATATAATATTTTTACAGGCTTACAATGTCAATAACTATGCCTGCATAACGAAAATTAAAATTACAGTTGTCTTATCATAAAGAGATAGACATGGTAGGTGATCATACCTCTCTATTTAGCACTGGTTAGGTCTCATCTAAATATTGTGTGTGGTTATGGGCTCCATATTTTTAAAAGGATGTGGAGAAATTAGAGAAAGTCCAGAAGCAGGCAACAAGAATGATAACAGTCTTGGAATACAAGTCATACAAGTAGAAGCTGAAGGAGATAGGCATGTATAGCTTGTGGAAAAGGCACGTAAGAGGGGACATGATAGCAGTCTTCAAATACTTGAAGGGTTACCATAAGAAAGAGGGAAAGCACCTTTTCTCTTCTGCTGCAGAGAGTAGGAAGCAGACCAATTGCTTTAAGTTGTAGCAAAGTCGGTATAGGCTAGATATCAGGAAAAGCTTCTTCCTTGTTAGAACAGTGAGATAGTGAAATAGACTACCTAGGGAAGCTGCAGATTCTCCATTACTGGAGGTGTTCAAGAAGAGGTTGAAAAGACAAGGACTGGGGATGACCTAGGCATAGCTATGCCTATGTTCTGCTATGGATATTTCCCATATTCCTGGGCTGTCCTTGTTGCTGCATGGGGCTGGAAAGGAATTGTTTGTCCCCTCCACCCCTCCTGCTGCTACATGTGTCATGGTTCTTCAAGCTTCCCTGAGAGGCATTGGGTGTCGGTTTCAGTCAGGGCTGGTGATTTTGACTAGGATGGGCCGGTACTACTGACACCAGGACTTAAACTCAGAGGTTCCTGGCTAGAAGGTCTTCAGGTGGATCATCATATTTAGGATCAGGAAGGAATTTTATCCCATGCTTAGATTGGTATGGACTCATGGGGAGCTTTGCCTTCCTTTGTTGCTTCCTTTGTTGTTGGTGGCATGGGTCTTTTCCTGGGATCTCTTGAACATATATTAACAACTTTTAGAGAAGCAGGATGTTAGCCACCATGGGTCCCCTGCTTTTCCTGTGGCAAGTTAGGATGTTATGTCTGGTGTTGTGTTAAGGTTGACTGTGTAGCTTTTCTAAGAGGTAAAAAAAATTGTACAGGACCATTGAAATAATCCTGCCTCAGATACTGAGGTGAACTAGATGACCTATGGAGCTCCTGTCCAGCCCTACTTCTCTATAATTCTATGAACAATTCTTGGGCTTTTTCAAAACGGTTAAAAACTATTAAAACATCAAAAAATGATCTTAAGACATTCTTTTCAGACCTGTTAACATTAGACTACAATATTAAAAAGGAGAAAGGTTCGATTTTGTTAAAATAATGCATTGAAAGCTGGTTTAAAAATTCATTGTTTTAAACAATCTTTTGTCAAGGATTTTCTTGCTAATATTTACTGTAGACAGGTAAATGCACTGTTATTTTTTGTTGTTGTTGTTGTTCTTACAACTGGTGTCCCAGAGAGTAAGAATTGTAATCTAATTAGGAAATATTCTTATTTTCACCTTAAAAATTGAATGCATCCCCTTAAAATATGAAAAACAGCTCTAGAGAAAATTGTCTTCAACAAAAGTAATTAGTTTTTAAAACAGAAAGAAACCAATTATCCTGACTACTCATATTCATCTCTGTGAGGTATTTGCTGATCATGTTCCTTTTTCTTTAAAAGTATGCTTTAAATTTTATTTGTTTCAAAATAGGCTTCTTATACCATGAATTCAAAACTACTAAAGCAACTTAAACATTTTCTTTTGTTAGAACAGACCAGTGTGTCTCCCTACTTTTTGTCTGGAGGGAACCTTTCAAACAATGTAAAAACTTCCTTTGACTTCAGCATGTACTGGACAGACCTTCAGGATGACTGAGCTGCTGCCCCTCTCTCAGACCCCATATATTTCTGCCAGGGAAACAATTGTGCCGGGGATAAGAACACAGGGCCTCTTTAGAAAAGGCCTCTAATATCCAACAGGCTTAGGAGCAGGGCCTATAGTCTTGACTGCATAGGTCAAACAACACCTCCCTGACAGGATGATGGGATCTTTTTGGAGATTTCCTCTCCTTTAGATCTCTTCTGTGGATGTTTCTGAGAGTTGTATGACCTGGGCCAATAGTAATACTTTGGTTTTATATGTTAATTTTTTTTTACACAAATTCATGTCTGTCCAAGAGTGCATATAGATATAAGCTATAATGCAGTCGCACAGCTCTCTGAACCAAAAACATACTGCTAAGTCTTCTATCAGTTTATCTTCAAAGTAATGCTCTTCTGTTTCAATCCAAGACTTTTCATAACCTTGAAGAAAAAGATTGACAGCTCGATGCCTAAAAAATAAACAGATATAAGATAAAATTATTAATCTATTTTTTAAAAATGTGCAATGCAATTTTCTTTTTTTGGTTTATTTTGGTAGAAAATTTTCCAATTTTTTTTTGAAATGTTACCACAGGCCTTACACATCCAAGCCACTGCCACTTTCTAGGAGCCTAATCAGACTTACCCTAGTCAATTATCATGGCATGTGTACTTTGGGGAATGATGATTAAGTCCCTTATTTCCTTTTGGCTCAGGCAACAGACTAATTATTTTTTTATGGGCCTGTTACAAGCTACGTGCTGTACAGATCATACACACACATGCCAAAAATATGTTTAGCTGGACAGAGATAAAAACAAACAAAGGAAAACAAAGAAAACAACAAAACCCAAAACTAAACAAAGGATAAAAATGTTTTGGAACAAATTTAGTGCCTTTTCTTCACAGCTGCTGAGATCCTCTGGGCTATGGAAGCTGAACTACTGCTGAACTAAAAGCAGGGAGTACAAGATAAGGCTGGGAAACTATCTTGAGCATACACACTTCTGGCCTAGAAGAGATCTGCTCCTCTAAAGACCACAGCACAGCAGGGCACAGAGAATAGAGCAATGGTGGCTGAATATTGCCAGCCCACTTCCCAAAGGGAGAGTGTTTCAGTGTCTACTGGCTTCCGTGACCTTAGTTCCACAACTGGCCAATGGGCTGATAAGATAGTTACTCTTCCTTGTCTTCTTGCAGTTGTACCCCCAGGTGCACTTGTCCATGTTTTGGCTATGTAATCCATTTAAGCATAAATGTACACAAATAGAAAAGAAAAAGTATATAAAGAGGACTGTAACAGAATGGTCCCCAAAGGACAAATAATACAATGGTCATCTTTTTCATGTAGCAGCTCTATGGCTTACTATAAAAACATAACAAATCACCACATATTTTACTCGCTAAGATGCAGCTCAAAAACACTGTTATTGACACTTCGGCCAGGTACAGACATTACACAGTTATCCATATAAGTGATTGGAAACTGGTCTATGCCCATAACAGAACAAAAGTTCAGCATACACAAATGGCCTATACCCACGTTCAGCACACACAGATTGGTTTCAAAATGGTGGGACCTGGTCTAAGATTTTCACACTCCCACCAAAGGGTGAATGCATGTTCTGTTCACTGCTTACAGAAAACCACGTAATGTAGATCAATTTTATCTCAGGCTTTTTAGATGTCTGTACCTAACCTGTGTGTATTTTAGCAAGCCTACACACACACACACACACACACACACTTTGGACAAGCTTAATCATTCTTACCTTGGCAGATTATATAATGGTGCCATTCTAAAGCAGGCTACTACAGCTCTCTTTCTCTGTTTGGACAGCAATTTGTGCCACACTGCCTTTTTGGACCTCTGAGGATGCTCCACCTAGTATACAAATTACACAATGAAAAATAAACAGTATGTGTTTTGTGTAGTGACTGATTTTTAATAAAACAAGTAAACTGGGCACACTTGGAATGACAGTAGCATAAATTGGGTAGGAACTGGGGCACTAGCCCCAGTTACCAAACCAGAGCAGACACAGGATGCAGTCTTCGCTGCTGCTGCAGCATCAACCTGTGTTCGGAGAGCTTGTGCTGAGAACCTGACTCAACTGCAGCAACACTGGTGCAAGGAGGTAAGCATGTGCCACCCCTGTTACCAAAATTTAAAGTTATGCTACTGGAGAGCCCCACTTTGATAAGATAAGAGATAAAAGAGCAATCACAAAAATTGTGTTCCCCGTAGGATTCAAGTAGTCAGACAAATGTTATGTGAAACTCATGATAAAAGCAAATCAAAATGAAAATTAAAATATTTCCTCATAAATTTTCTGTATTTCTCCACTTTTTAAACACTACCCACTTTTCCTTTATTGCTGCTCCAGCAATCAGACTTTTTGAGCGTATATCAGTGCTCTTAGATAGTCTTGGAATTCAATGAAAAAAATTTCCCTATTTTTATACTTTGGCACATCTCTTTCTGGCCTACAGGTGCCACACCAATCTTCTTAATTAGCTCATTTTTAGTTAAACTAATAAGCTAATACTAACGGTGCACAATGTGCTAGATTCCCTCCTACCTATTAGGCATGGAAGTGGAAGTGGGATAGAGTCTAGCCCTAGATTCTACACATAGGTGCTAAATGGGATCTTATTCCATCCTAGTCAAGCCCCTGAAAAAGTGTAAACTAAAAAAGGGGGTGGGTCCTCCTTTACCTCCTCCTCGCTACTTTCTTGTGACTCAGTCTTAAGGACGGTATGTTACAAAATGGACACAATGTAGATTTTTAGCACTCAAGCAGGGTGGAATAGAATCACACATAGGTTCCTAAATTTGCTTGTGTGCCTAATAGATGGAATAAAATTTGGCCCAGTGTGGCTGGCAGTTCTGAAAAGAAATTAACTAAAACACATGTAAATGATGCTGTCCACCCTCCTTAAGGCTGAAAGTCTAGGATGAAGATAAGTTGAAACAAAACAGCTACCTGGGTTGTGAGTAATAGAAACTAATATATCTTTCTCTGTGTCTTATAAGTTATATTTGCTCTTTAAAATAGTTCATTCTCTTCAAATCTATGTAAACCTCACTCAAGAATCAATCTTTTCTCCATCTGTTTCAGATATCAAGGTCATAAGGCTTCAGTGTGCCACAGTTAGCAGTCTTCTCTCTCGCACATTATCAAAATGGACAACAAATGTTAAAATATCACCATCAAAGAAGATATTTCCTTCATAATTAAACTAGCCATGCTACTTTAAATATATAACAAGGATAATATTTGCAAGGGCTTCAGAGAAAGCAGCCATCAAAGTAACTTAGTCACTTAGTGAAACACTCAGAAAAAAATCCACAAACACACTCCTAGGAGCTGTGAATACAATTACTTAATTAAACAGTCAAGGAAATTGCAGAGCATTCAGTACAAGGGAGAAGAATTAATCTGTAAAAGGTTAACATCTATAATGTCCACCAAAAAAACACATAAAAATGAACCTAAATAGTTATGAGGAAAGGTACAAAACAAGCAACTATATATATCATTTACGTTAAGAGCAGAAAAACAAAACAAACTCAAAGTGTATTATCAATATGTTAGGCAAATCCAAATGTCAAATTAAAGTAATTAGTAGTATCTTCACAAACTATTATAAAGCTTTCAATACTTCCCCAAGGGAAAAATCTTCGGACCACCTTAGAAGATATCTGGAAATAGTAAAAATGGAAAGCTTATATGTGTGTAAAAGAAAAAAAAAAAACCTATCTGGTCTTTGCTGATGTAACAAAGAAAACTGTCAAAAAATTGATCAGACGAGGGAACACTCCTTGGGCACGTCCATGCATGCAAGCACATGCGCTTGCAGCAACTCAAATAGAAACAGTGCAAATTTGAGCCGGGGCTTTTTGCTTCAGCACACGTGCCCGGACATGTACTTTGTTGTGAAGCAAATCATGCCACTTGGGGCAAAATAACCCCTGCCTGGCTCCTCCCAGATCTGCAGCCAAGGGGAGCTAGAGCTCAGCGCCAGCACCTGTGCTGACCCCAGCAGTATAAAAAACTGTCCTGACCTGGCCCCATCAATACAAAAATTGCCTTGGCAAGTAGCTCAGGGCTACTCACTCTCAGGACCTTCTGGAGCCCAGCTAATTGGTACCTGGGGACACTACCCCTTGTGCCAGCTGGACTGCTAAAGCAGCCCTGAGAGTTCCCTGCACCCTCTACCCACTGCAGCAGTCTGGCAGTGGGGGCTGCTGCCTGGCTGTGACCCGCTGTGCACCTGCCAGACCTAGATGGGGACTGCACTGCCAGTAGCGGCATCTCCCCTTCTGGGCCTGCTGCCAATGGGTTGTGGCTGCAGAGTTGGCCTCTGTGCGACACTACTGCCATGTGTGCCCCCTGCCCAGCAATCTGGGCAGCTATTGCCCAGGAGGTGTTCTGGGTGTGGTGGCCTGCTTTGAACTGTCAAAGCATGTCCTCCTAGCCCCATTTGGCCAGGAAGTCAACCACAGCCAGCTGGGTCCAAGGTGCCAGCTCTGAGCAGCAAGGGTCCTGCCACTGGCCTCCCTAGCAGGAATTCTAGCATTCCCTATTTGAAAACTGAAAAAACCCTGATAAAAAATCCCAATCATTCTGTAAAATACCCCAAAATCCATGTTCTTTCAAAATTAAAACAAAAGACCACTATAAAAGAGAGAGAGAGAGACAGAGAAAGAGTAATCAGTTGTGCAACATTTTATTGATATATCTACAGTGTTAAAGCAATTTGGAAGACTACCAGTGTCTCTATCATAATAATAAAATGAACTCTAAATATATGTTTAATGAATTCATGAATATATATTTCTCTGCCCCTGCCAGGGGCTATGCCCCCCCCCCAGCAGAAAGAAAAAATAAGAAAAAAAAAAGCCTCTACTCAACCGAGAAGCAGGGGCTGTGGGGGCTCCGGGGCCCCCTGGCAGAGTTCCCCCCCACCCCAGGCAGCACAGGGCAGCAGAGCCCTGGCTGGGGCTGTCCCCCTGACCCGCGCTGTGCGGCGGGGGGGGGCACAGTGACACAGATGGCTGCCAGAACTGCCAGTAAGTGCTGTGGGGGGTTGTTGTTTTTTTTTTTTTATTGTGGGGATGCTTGG